CAAGAAGCTGTGCGCAATTATTTCCGATCAGCTGCCCGACGTGGGTATTGTTGGAGACGTGACATCAATCAGTGCTATGTCAGAGCACTGTGGCCACTTGCAACACGGCAGAAGTATGAAGCTAAACGAGCTTCGGTATGGTGACTAGGTCGTGTGTGGTACGCCTGTTGTCTCTTCGTTGGGATTCCCGGGATCTTGAAACCACAACATGAACAAGGCAGCCCACACCCCCTGAAGCGGCTTGGAAGTCCCAGGTGACATCGTTGCATCCATCCCTGGCAATAACAGCAAAGGCAGGCATACATGCGGCCTGAAGTTCCATGGCAACTCCACTGCGCTTGGACCATTGACATGTCGGTACGTAGGTTTGAGCTTTGCTTACAACAAGTCCTGAACCAGTCTTCTTGTTTTCCAAGTGCGGTCCAGGTAATGTAGAGCTCCAGCCAATGCTTGTGAAGATTTGGCTGAACAAAGTCAACTTGCTTTGTGCCCTGGCGGCTGAGAATCCACAGAACGTAACCACGATCATGGATGCCAACATCAACGCTGGGCAGATGAAATGGGTCGCCAAAAATGTGGGTGATCTCACCCCACCTGGCGCGCTTTTCATGCCCGACTATGGCAGGGATGGCATGGGAGGGCAACTCTTTGGACACACTAACTGCACGGAACCCGTCAAGGCCTATGCAAAGTGGATGGCGGTTCGAGGGCAAGACTGCGGAAGGGTCATGGAGGTATACGACAGCTTTGTCAAGGACGCAGGCCGTGCTACTGTTGCCTTGGGTTCAGAATGGTTGGGGTGCACATGCACACACGTTCTTGCTCAGACAGCTTCCTGCGCTGCGCTTTGTAGCGGCTTTCATTGGGTCAATCCCTTGTGGCTTGTGTTGCACTCTACGGAACAGACCCAGGACAGAACCTGCGCGTAGAAATTCTGTTTAGAACTGCAAGATACTGCAAGTGCGCAGGTGCCGAAGTGTGAAGATCCACATCAGATCTTTTAAAGAAATGGTAGACATAGACTCTGCGCTCGTAAGATCGTAAATGGCTTTAATCGCACTGCACGGACAAAATGTGTAGCATGTTGCTGTAAACTAACTACTTCACTGACATGTCCTCGTATTGGTGCGCGAATTGCTTGCACGGTTTGTGTACAGGTTGCTGAGCGTGTGGTACAAGAGGGTCTGTTTATCCGCGCCTCGCCCAACTGAGTCAGGCGATCGAACGCGCACACCCGGCGCCTGCCCGCCCCTGGGTTTGACATTCTCAGACCCTGGCTTGGTCTGGTTCCAGATAAAAAGTCTCGAAGGGGAGCCCTGAGGTCATCAATGTATATCAATATCAAGAATGTGTCTAAGCCCATCTACATCATAATCACAGGCATCACGGGTGTAAGGACACTATCCTAGCAGGCTTTCTTGCGTCCCGCCTTCTGAAGGCTCCAGTAAAGACAGGCTTGCTGTAGCTAAGTTTTTATTCAGTTTCGCCGGTGGTGTTCAATAGTTGTCGCAGCGCATCGACCTAGCAAAGTAATAGATTATTGTTTTGAGTTAAGCCAGATGAGTCATGTGCAGAGTTGGATTATACACATGTATGCCTGGAGAGGCCTCAAACCCATGGGAGCAGAGATGAGAACCCCCCCAAGAGCGAACACGAAGGTGAGTGGCAGAATCGAAGTTCTTGAAAGCACAAGCGAGCCTACAAGCAAAATTGATATTGTTAAGCAAGTAGCAGTAGCTGACCATTCTGCTGACCGGCCTTCACTGATTTACTTGTACCAATAGTAGGAGGTTTGCATCCCTTTTCAGCATCAACTTTTTGAGCACCGCTAATTTGCAAGACCCCTTTTGAAGAGTTGAGCGGTCCACGCATGACGACAGCTGCTAAAGGTAGTCTGAGCACCCCGTTGTGAGTTGAGTGCGTCGAGGTGCTTTGACGAAGAGTACGTCCTGACGCGGGCGATGGAAGCGAGGCCGGACGTGATCACGTCGAGTCACCCGAAGCTATGACCCAGAACTCCGAAGGCTTGTCTAAGTCCGATGGAGTTTTGAGCTCGTGCTCACGACAGCACTGTGGCAAAGCCACAGACTGCAGTGCGGTTGGGCATGAGACTGCGCAGAAGTCGCAGATTGCCACGAGAACCGGCAGGCCAATCAAAAGCAGAGGGGTTGCAGCATGGAGCTTCAAGTCTTATGGGTTTGTCCTGTCTGATATTTGTGCTCCAGTTCTCCTTGCTTCCATGACTGCGCGCTTGTGTGTTGTGGGCGCTTGCGCTGAGCCCGCTGGGCCGAGCTTACCCTCAAAGGAAATATCCTCACTGGAGGCGGTACCTGGACATTTGCGAGGATTCCTTTGAAATCTGAGGGCACGGTTCAGCTTTCAATTTCATTGTTCCCACCTGCGTCCAGCAGATCATGGTTAAGTTCTCTATAGGCCACATCAAGGTGTCACAGGGCAAGTGCACACGCAGCGACAATTCCTAGTTGTTAATTTGGTAGGACCATGTGGCAGGATGGGCATGGACTTGGAGTTGTCCAAACGCATCGCCCTGCTTGGGCTCATGGCGTTTAGATGTACTTGCAAGTGCTCTGTTGCAGTTTTCATGCTCAAGCTGCGCACCGAAACACAACCGTTCGCTGTGAAGGCCAAGCCATGGCGTGGATGATATGGCGTGTGGTGCGCTTTGCATGGCTGGTCCTCTCAAGTGTGGCTCGGCCATCACAGGAGGGAAGAGACTAACCAAGCTCAATCTAGTGACCTAGGAATGCCGCAACTGCCCTAAACATGCAAATGGACATAAGAAAACCGCAATGCAGGATTCAGGAAGAGAATTATCTGGCCGGAACCAACAGATACTATGGTCCCCCTATCATAGCTCACAAGGAGCCAGGCTGGCAGGGCCTCCTACCATGCCAAAATGGGAACATGAGAGTCAGAAAACAAGTAGAACCAACAAGAGGAGCAACATAACCGACATTTGTCACGTGAACCACGGCCTCAACCATGCTGGCATAGACGCCAAAATAGTGACAATGAAGCATGCGGTCGTCGACGCCAAGTGGCAACAAACAACCGTAGGAAAAAGCGCGCAAGGAGTCAGGCCCAAGAGAAATAAGTGCCTCGGGAATTTGCTAGGAATCCTACAGGAAAACACAACGCGCACCCGGGTGCGCTTTGTGTTTCCCAGCCAATTTCCGAGGGCCCGGGGGAATTTACGTAGGAGTGCTAGGAATCTGCCTAGGGCCTCGGGAGTTTGGTAGGACTCCTAGCAAAGTCTCGAGGCCTCTATCGCTCACAGGTTTCTCACACAGGCGACCTGCCCCCCTTCATTCGTTCAGAGGTTTCTCGCAGAAGCAATCCGCCCCCCTAAATTTGCTCACAGGTTTCTCACAACAGGTTTCTCACAGGGGCCATCTGCCCCTCGCTCACAGGTTTCTCACAGAGACAATCCGCCACAGTCACGGGCTTCGCACAGGTTTTTTCACAGGTTTCTCGCTGGATTCTCAACAGGTTTCTCACAGCGCAGGCTCTAGAATTTCCTAGGAGTCCTATCGGAAATTGCCTAGGGAGGAGTGAAGGGGGGCGGCTCGCCCCTGTGAGAAGCCTGCGAAAAACCTGTGAGCGAATGAAGGGGGGGATCGCCTGTGCGAGAAACCTGTGAGCGATAGGGGCTTCGGGAATTTGCTAGGACCTAAGACTTAAGAGTCCTAGGAATCTGCCTGGGCCCTCGGGAATTTGTTAGGATTCCTAGCAAATTCCCGAGGCTCTCGTCAGATTCCTAGCACTCCTAGTAAATTCCCTTAGGCCCCCGGGAATTTGCTAGGAAGCCTATAGGAAAACACAAAGCGCACCCTAGGATTCCTAGCAAATTCACAAGGCTAGGCAGACTCCTAGGATTCCTAGCAAATTCCCGAGGCTCTAGGCAGATTCCTAGTACTCCTAGTAAATTCCCTTAGGCTCTCGGGAATTTGCCAGGATTCCTACAGGAAAACACAAAGCGCACCCGGGTGCGCTTTCCTAGCAGATTCCCGACGCTGGGCAGATTCCTCGGACTCCTAGCAAATTCTCGAGGTCCCCTAGGCAGATTCCGAGGACTCCTCGCAAAGCGCACAAGCTTGATTCATCCCTACACTCCAATGTATTACAAAGAACGAACAGCGCCAACAGAATATTGCATTTGTTGCAATGCGGTTCCTGAAGCCCCAAAGCCTCAAAGCCTTTGGGCTCTCTGCCTAAGCCATGGCAGAAAAGACTGCAGCGTAGGTTGACGTTTTAATACTCTATAGTCTATAGCACACTTAATATAACATATAGTGACTAGTATAGGCAGCTAGCAGGCATTAGCTAGCTAGCTAGTTTCATTCTGCAGCCGTTGCTAAGTCCTAACCACACCGTCTAAACTTGACTAAACATTGCAGCCTGAACACATGCACGGACAATGTATGTAGAGTAGAGTAGAGTAGAGTAGAGTAGAGTAGAGTAGAGTAGAGTGAAAGCTGTAGCAGTAGCAACGACACTTCCCGTCTTAGCCGGCCGGACCTGCAACTGGAATTGCTTCAGTAACACCTCCGCTTTCTGCTCCGGCAGCAAGACGTCGAGCCAGTCAATCGCCGGTAAGTACTTCTTCATCGCAGTGACCTGCGCCTGTTTCGGACTGTTTGTGGAAAGTCATTTATAACATACTACTTTTTGCACTGCGTTGAAGTCGCTCGCTAGATTATTGGAAAATCGTAAACAACATACACTCGGGCCATGAACATGTGCCGTGTACGGGGCAACCGGGACAACCTGATGCACTGAAACACACTTCGACACCATCTGCCAGCTGCCTCTGGAGGACATACATTGGGGCCTTACTTGGCAAGTCGTTGGTAACCTGGTGACAGCCAAAAACAACGCAGTAGTACCGTAGTAGTACAGGAACTATACAATACATACGGAAGTTTGCAACTCTTGTCTATATATACCGAGGACCTAGGACCTTGGCCCAGCTACGTGACTACGTCACCTTGTACGACCCAAGCTACAACCGCCCACAAACCTTCAAGCGTCACGCTGTGGCTGAATGATTCTGTGGTTTTGCCCCTGAAATTCTAGGAAAAGTTACTACGGCTACTGCGGCTTCCACTGAGTTGGAGAATCCCTCCTTCAGCTTGTTGTGCACTTCGGCCGCGTCGGCTGAGCTGTATAGATGGGGGCTTATAAGGTTCCAGGCTTACATTACAAGGCTTGGGGGTTATATAGGGCTTAGGGGGCTTAGGGCTTGGAGCTCAGGGTCAGTCTTGGGGCCCAAGTTGGGGCGCCGGGCTTTCGGGCTTAGGGCTTCGTGACTTTGTGTTCAAGGATCCCCCCGCATTGGTGTCAAAAAAGACTGTTGATGCAGGAAGTCCCACACCACCTTGCATGCTTTTAGACTCGACACGCTAGACTTTATAATTGTACTCACTGTGCTCTCTAACTCTTAAGGGTTTCCTCCATCGAGCATGGGGCCTGGGGGTCTCAGAGGCAGTCTCTAGCTCTAGCACTCTAGCTCAACAGCAACAAGGCGCCTGTCTGTTTGAAGTCTGCTGGGCATGGCGTTTTTGCCACAGCTGCGCAATCCGCGATTCTGCAAGGGCTGCATTCACGACGTCACAGGATGAAACTCGGCTCTTCGCCCTCCCCGGCCTCTCTGCTGGCCTCTTACTGGTTTTCAAACTCTTGACATTCAGAGGACGCTGCGCAGAAGTGTCGTTGAGCGGCAAGGCGCTCTTGATAGTTACCTGGCATCGCGTCAATGTGAGCTTTGGCTGTGGGGTAGTCACGTGCTGTCAGCAGCCAGTGCATTAGCAGACCGACAGGTCTGCCCTGCCCAGGTCGCTGCAAGTTGGTGTACGCAGCTCTCTGTTCCTTGCAGGCGGCGCCATGCATCCAACAATGAGCACGAATGAAATTTGATGTCGTGTTGTACCTCAGGTTGCCGTAGCTGGGAGCAAAATAAGGCACCACTTCCGCTTGCCCAGGCCGGCGAACACACGCAGGGACACGAACCCTTTGCCTGGGGCTCTCGTCTGGTTTTTCCGCTGCCTTCTTACTGCTGCTGCTGCTGGTGGAGGTGGTGGTGGTGCTGCTGCTGCCAGACCCGCCAGACTTACAAGACCCTGTCAGGCAACACGCGAGGCGTCGAGGGAGCGCTGTCGTTACTGTCATTCTCGTGAGCGTGGTCAGAAGCGCCGCTAGAAACTCCATCCAACTCGCCGTCCTGAAG